AAAAATCAAAATCAAATAAAATGGAAAACGTATTGAACCAGTACGAATATGTAAGGAACGTCCATGATTTAAACAGACAAGGTTTTTCTTTGGGGACTTCCAGATTCCAAGAACTTAAAATTGAAAAATTCTCGAAGTTTCTTGAAGTTGTCAGAGGGCAGACGAATGACTCCTAATCATCATTAGGAGAAGAAATCAAGCTAGAAGCGATATATAGTGATCCAAATTAGCAACCACAGAAATTAAAGAATAACGAAAAAATTTTGTCGAGTAATTTCGTGGATGTATTGTACCTGAGGAAGATCGCGAGAGTGCTTGGATGTGGCGGTAGCCATTGTTGGTTCGAGTTGGTGACTGTGGTATGAGGAAAGAACTCTCCAGACTTTTCTGCGGCTTCAACTTCACAGACATGCGTTTTGTGACTGACAAAAACGCAGTTAAAAACAAGGGAGTTGCTAATATGTAAAAACGTTTTATTTGGCTCATATATTTAAAAGAAAAAATTGGGGAAAAAATTGGGTCTTGGACGGAAAGCCTATACCGAGATCTTGGAACTCAGAACACTTGCTTGTCTACTGTCAAGTTATTTTCCCTTCTTTCTAAAGTAGGATTTGCAAGTTGAGACTTAGTATAAAGTTCATTTCAATAAAAGTTACATTTGATTTTATTTTCAATATTGTAGCAACAAACGAAAGGATTGCAATGGACGACCATTGCCACTACCTCCGTTGATAGAATTGTAGTAGACAATTATTGATGCTATCGAAATAAAAAAATGATTGCATTAGAGAACTATTGTCCCTATTATTAGTCCTTGGTTTAATGTAAGAATACTAGTCATTTGGTAGATTGATCTACTATAACATTAATGAAGGACAAACTAAGGTCGAGGTTAGAACTACCCAAGACTTAGAAAACAAATTTTTAAATCAAACATATATTACATAAGTTGCAAATACAAAAAGGTAGAGGTCCACAACTGCAAAAGATTAACAAGTACAAAAGACAGAGGTCCACAGTCGGAAAAGAACAACACAAACAAGTTTGTAACTGCAAGGAACAACATGTAACAAAGCAAAGTCCTAAAGTCGTACAATATCCAGCGCACCAACAATCAAACACCTTCAGGGGCTAATGAATCAACATCCTCTTCGTCTGTTAGAGAATCAGCAAACTCAGGAACAATGCGACTAACATCGAATGAAGGGTCGAGGGTGTCCACCAGCTTTTTACAGACATCAAATGCGTCAAGCCAATAGCCAGGTCACCTTTGTCGTGTCCTCCGCCCTATTGTTAGCTTTGCCAAGGCTCAAGTTTATAGTTCTTCGATCAAGTCTATCGACTTCAGCCTCAAGTGTAGCATCTCAGGAGAATGTCGTTCGTTGTAGTCTTTGCCTTATGGGCCTCGCTACGATCGAGTTAGTGTCTAATCTCAAGGATCCGTCTACTCCCATAAGAAATCTTGTCAACCATGCCCCGGTGACTGCAAAGGAGATGAGCAATATGAAAGAACATTAAAAAAATTTCAGAGTCAACATTAAGAATAATGAAAATTTTGATTACCTTGACTAAATACTCATAGCCGTCTCGAATAGCTCCTCGGAGTTTATGATCACTTGTATGCCTTTTTATCACTAGGAGTTAGGAGATGCTTCGACATCTCCACCGTAATGTCGTAATTCAGGAGACTGTCACCAATGCTAACGTCCCACTCTAGAATGCACCTATCCAATGGACGACCTCCACGGCCCAAACCTCTAACATTAGGGAAGTCGTGACCTCCGCTGCCCTCGACATTACAAAGGATAAAATACAACAATATAAAATACCATCCTTTTAGTGCGAGCTAAGGGCATGATTGTTTATGGAATATTCCATCCAAAATATTTCAACTCAAATATCTAACTCAACTCCACAATCTTAAATATTATTCATATAATTAAATAATATAAACTAATCATTCTTACACATCACATCAACTTTAATTCACTATTCATCCACTCACATAATTTTAACTACCAATCATTTATCTCCTACTTTATATCAAATCAATTTTAATCATTTTATTTTAAATATTATTTTAATATATTTTTTAAATCCCACTAATAATTAACTACACTACTTACTACACTACTTTTTCAACTTTAACTATAGCTAACAAGATGAAATATTTTGGATGAAATATTCCATAAACAATCATGCCCTAAACTTTTGATAGTCAAAAAGGTCCTTATATTAAAAAAAAAGTTAACAGGAAAAAATGACTGACGAACTTGCGATTCACGAACCCACATCGGACGGCGGCGCCGCCAGGACCGATCTTCCTGCTCATCTTCGCTCAATCACTATCCCACAGAATGTTACTCGCTATTCCCCTAATGTCACTCTGGCAGGCGGAACCCTAACTAAAACGTTGGGCGCTCAACCCGGTGTCGCGCCCAGCACTTCCCATAACACGGAGGTCGTTGATGAATTCCCGGCACTGAATAAAGACACGATTCCGCCGCTGGTTAATGGCTGCTACTCCAAACACCGGCGTCCGCTCGATCCTGGGATTGCGAATGGTGATAAGAAGAAAATTGGGGGAAATCAATGGGCAGCTGCTCCGGTCTTAGGGCACCAAGAAAAAGCGGTTCCCCCCCAACGATTAAGCTTCCGAGATATGGTGAGTAAAGACAAGCCACATGTTGTCTTGGACACTGGGATCGAGGAGAAAGACGGGGTGGACGAGGATATCTCAGTTGATTTCTCAAATTCAGTGCCGGACGTGTGGATAGCGCCGCGATCCTTTGAGATGATAGCCAAAGATTGGAAAGACATGGTGGTGGTTAAACCCATAGATACTTCCCTATCCCACGCGGTCCTATATAATCGGTTGACAAAAATGTGGCCTCACATGGTGGGGTGTACTATGATGGACCTGGAGAATGACTTCTACCTGATCCACTTCCAAACTAACGAAGACGCGCTTCGTACTCTTGTTGGTGGTCCTTATGTGGTGGGTAATGGATACCTACATGTCCAACCTTGGTTTCTGGATTTTGATGAGAATAAATCACAACTGTCAAAGGTGATGGCATGGATTAGACTCCCAGGGATGTCGGTGCACCTCTACCACAAGCGAGTATTCCGACAAATTGGGCAATTGTAGGACAAGTGGTGAAAATTGATTATCAGAAAGCTTCGCTCACGAGGGGAAAATATGACGCCTTGCCATGCTGGTTGATCTCTGTAAGCCTTGTGTGTGCATTTTACGATTGAGGGCAAATTGCAACGAGTGGAGTATGAAAATATGCCACTTATTTGCTTCCATTACGAGAAGTATGGTCATGAGGCCTCCTCGTGTCTGGATAAGGAAACTAAGCAGGCTGTGAAACCTAACAGGGCAGATTCGAACTTGGAGTCGTCTACTTCCAACCCAACTGATGGACAGAACAGCGCGAGACTCGACGATGACCGAGGAGGTAGGATCGCTATATGGGCCGTGGATGCAAGTACCTCAGCGGGTCCGGAAGAACATAGACCGTTCTAGTAGGGTGCCAACATGTGGGATGTCTAACACGTCTTCCTTGGGAGGCCGGTTTGATATGCTGAATTCTGCTGAGGACGTCACCAATGGGCCAGAGTTTAACTTTGGGGCGCCCGGTGCAAATGGTGGTCATCAATCGAAGGGGGCCACGTCTAGTGGGGATCCGAAAGAGTGGCACCGGGCTGGGGCGAAGGGAAGGAAAATCGTGGATGGGCGTAAGCAAACGGACACTCGGACCTTAACGACCGAGGGGGCGCGCAAGACTACAGTGCTCGATAACGGTAAGGGGGTGGTCGGCAAAAATGCAAAGGACTCTCGGAGCATGGTGGTTGATCGTGTCGAGCTTGTTCAAGACGGGGATGGGGATTAGGGGCTACATGTCCCTCACGCGTCACTTTTGAACGTTTCGGTTGGGTCGGGGCTAGATTCTAACAAACATTGTGCGGTACAGATCGATGATGATCAGTGTATGGAACTTAATCCGGATATTGAGGATGATGCGGGAGAGGAGTTGGATGATATGTTGGAAGACCATGTTTCAACACCCACTGGTAGACCGAGTCCATGGCCGGAGGAGCCTACCATGCAGGAGAGGGGGGCAGTACCGCCACCGCCGTCCGGATTTGAGGAAGAAGGTGAGATCTGCATGGCCACGGATGGCCGGCTTCGGGTCTGAGGGTTCCTTACTCCTTTTGCTTGTTTTAGTTTATCATGAAGACATTAGTATGGAATGTACAGGGGGCGGCTTCTGAGTCTTTTCGGCTTGCCTTCCTTTCTATTGTTCAACAACACAAACCTGATGTGGTTGCTTTACTAGAATCTCGTATAAGTGGGCCAGGTGCTGACAAGTTTATCCAACAAAGTTGTTTTGATTACTCTTTTTGCGTCGCGGCTAGGGGTTTCTCGGGGAGCATTTGGCTCCTTTGGCCCGAAGGGGTCGAGGTGCGTGTTTTAAGTTGTGGCCAGTAAGTTTATTCATGTTCGGTTGACCACAGGCCTGGAGACTTGCATTATCGCTTTTGTTTATGCCTCGTCTAACCCTGGGTTACGCCACCGGTTGTGGGATGCTTTAGATCGCCTGGCGGCTCAAACTCGCGGGCCGTGGGCCGTAGGAGGTGATTTCAATTGCTTTCTGTGTCGATCGGAGAAAATTGGAGGGTCCAGCGACCGTTGTAATATTAGTGGTGACTTTCGTGACTGGATAAATAATAATCAGCTGTGTGAGATGAATGCGCTTGATAACCGGTTTACATGGTCTCGGGGCAATGTTTCTGAGAAGCTGGACAGGTTTATTGTTAACACCGCATGGATGGACTGGTTCACAGAGGGAAGGTTGGTGTATCTGCCGTCGGACCATTCGCCCATTCAACTAATTTTTGGGAACTCGCCGATTCACTCGGGTGGTAAAAAACCCTTTCGGTTTGTGGCCGCTTGGCTCCTTCATGAAGACTTCTCTCGTCTCCTGGAGGAGGTGTGGCACCCGGGGGTCTCTTTTCTGGAGGCTGCCTCCCATTTTGCGGTGAATGCCAAAGAGTGGAATAAGGATACGTTTGGCAATATTTTCCAACGTAAGAAGCGTTTGATGGCTAGGATAGCGGGTATTCAAAAATCTTACCGATTATATTTCAAGGAGAGCTTAGTGGCCCTGGAGAAGACATTGAGACGTGAGCTGGACGAGGTTTTGTTGCATGAGGAGTTGTTACTCATTCAGAAATCCAGCCGGGATTGGGCCTTATTTGGGGATAGAAACACTTCGTTTCATCACCGCCAGGTGCGGGCCTGTCGAGCCCGCAACCGAGTTGTCTC